TGCTGACAGAGCAGAGCCACGCTGCAGCTGTGATGGATCCAAAAAATATTGTCCAGATCCACCCCACCACCTGATTGACAGCTGACTCTACCTCTCTAGAGGTTGTGTCCGCCCCATCCATCCCTCCAGTCATCGTTGGAGGATCAGAGAGGGGAATGGGGGTATTCCTGCGAGGAGCCGTGACTGACAGTCACCGCTCTCTGCAGAGAGAGTGAGTGCGGGAACTGCGTGATCAGCGGTATGTGATCGCTCAGTTCTCAATCAAGAAAGCCAACCTGTGGCAGCTTCAGTAACTAGGGGGTATTAACTAGGGGGAAGTAACTAGGGGGAAGAGCGCATTTCACTCTCCCCATAATTTCGTAACCAACATGCAACACACAGCTCACTGCTGATGTCAATTAATCACGGCCATGGCGACATGCTAACCAAACAAAGATCGTTGTTTGGAGGAGGAGGAGAGAGCTTTTTTTACACAGATAAAGCCATGCAGTGAAACAGTTATAACAGGCTGCAATATCGCTGACTGCTACCATTGCAGGTGGCTCACCCAGGTCTAGCTGGCTGGGCACACACGCTTGCATACAATCTGGCATACTCTGAGGGTTGTGGAGCAGCCTAGCATTTTCCATGTCTTAATGTCTAAATTGCTGCAGCAGATTCTGTAAGCAGTGCATGTTTCCTTTAAAATGTGGTGACGGCTGCCATATGTGTGTATAATGGGTTAACTACGGCGCTAACCGGCCCCAGAGATGACCACTCTCATTCTGCTGGTGCTTAGATTGGGGTCCTGCAAGCTGCAAAAACTCAGCACATGGTGTGGCTGAGAACATAATATCATCACAGCCAGGACCTAATTTTTCCTCCAAATAATATTACTTCTACTACAGAGTTTTGAAAGAAATTATCAGAAATTCAAAGCAAAACTAAAAGGTAGAAAAGCTTAAATGTGTTGAAAAATTCTCTGAACTTTGCACATGGGTTCACAACTGGTTGGACAGAAGGAGAACAAAAGACAATAAATAACACATTTCATCTTCACAAACCATAAAACTGAACATTCCATCAGTATGGAAAATACAAAATACACAAAAGGGGTTTCTGGGCAATATGAAGCCATTATAATTAGTAAAGTCTCATTTTAACAATCTCACCTTCTCTACGTCCCCCAGACCTTCTGTGTCTAAGAGAACCAGAGCACGATCCTTATACCTGGGGTGAGGGACACACCACATCCAAATACCTTTGGTCTGAGACTGAATTGTAGAACCCAGACTGAAGCCTGTGAGCAGGAAACACGTAAAATTATCTTTGAAACAATTATAACTTCATATATTTCTCATAACTGGAAATTAGTGAGCTTTTGTTGATCAGTTGTTTGGACAATCTTTTACAAATCTTGAAAAATTTAAAGTTTGGACTTTCTGAGCTGGAAGTCCCAATAAAGTGATTGAAAATCTGAACCAGGCACGAAATAGTATATATTACAGAGGAG